GTCAGGTAACTTTAAGTGCTGTTTAAGTGCTGGATACTGCTTGCTAGTTGGTTTGCAGTTATCTGGCCCTGTCTGCCTGCCACAGGCTGTCTTATAACTGCTTGAACACAGGTGAGAGACATTCTGCTGATTGCACTGCAGTGCAGCAGGCAGCAGCTGGAGATGATTGCTCACAGGGAGAGCAGAGCAGGCAGACAGGCCAGAATCATAACATACTCATTTGATTTTAAAGAAATGCCTTGCCATAATACATGAGGACCGTTGCAAAATTTAACAAAATCCTTTCAACTTTATGCTGCTTGCTTTATATTTAGCCTACATCCTTGCACCTGTAAAGGGATGTAAGGGATAGGTTTGTGTTTGGTTTTTTCTACAAATATTTTATTTTCAATACAAATAACCCTTGAGAAACTGATAGAAATGAGCACATAGACTTGATTAAGACCCGCACAGATCTGATCGCTGTTGCTCTGTCCGCGGTGCATGCCAAGTTGTCCTTGTCTTTGTCATTTCTAACCTAAACTGTAGAAATCAAGAATGATGAATATCATAAGTTCCATTGTCTAGATAGATAGTTCTGATCTCCAATAGTTCTTCTTCTGTTTTTACAGACACTGAGGAGAGGAAGAGCCCAGAATGTTTCAGGATTGTTCTGATTGGGAAAACTGGTAATGGAAAGAGCTCATCCGGAAACACCATCCTGGGGAGAGAGGTGTTTATCGCCAAACCATCTCAACATTCAGTCACAAAATTCTGTCAGAAAGCCCAGGGTGAGGTGGACGGTCGTCCGGTTGCTGTTGTTGACACTCCTGGTCTGTTTCACGACAGTTTGTCCAATGAAGAAGTTCATGATGAGATGATAAAATGTATGAGTCTTCTGGCTCCGGGTCCACATGTCTTCCTGCTGGTGATACAGATCGGCAGATTCACAGAGGCGGAGAGAGAGACTTTAAAATTCATCAAGAAAGTTTTGGGAAAGAATTATGAGAAGTTCACCATCATCCTTTTCACTATGGGAGATTTACTGGAACATAACAGTGTATCTGTTAATAGCTTTATTTTAGGTTGTGGGGATTCCTTAAAGAAGATGATTGCTGACTGTGGAGAAAGATACCATGTGTTTAATAACTATGAAAAACAGGATCGTTCACAAGTCAGTGAGCTCATCAGAAAGATCGACACCATGGTGAAGGAAAATGGAGGCAGCTACTATACCAATGAAATGCTGCAGGAGGCTGAAGCTGCAATACGGAAAGAAATGCAAAGAATCCTGAAGGAAAAGGAGGAAGAGATGGAAAAACTGAAGGAGAAACTTGAAAGAAAACTCAAGGAAGAAAAGGAAGAAATGGAAAGAAGAATAGAGGAACAGAGAGTAGAAATAGAAAAGGAAAGAAAACAGAAAGCTGAACAACTTAAAGAAATGGAAGAAAACATCAATAGGGAAAGAGAGCAGAGAAAGAAAGAACAGAAGGAAAGAGAGGAGGAAGATAAGAAAAGAAAAGAGGAGGAAGAACGACAGCAAGAAGAGTGGGATCAGATGCGCAAGAATTTAGAAGAAAAAATTAAGTCAGAATCAGAAGAAAAAGAGAAAACAGACAAAAAATTGGCGCAGCTGAGAAAAGAGAGGGAAAAAGAACGAGAAATACAGGAAAATGAAAGAAAGGAGTGGTGGGAAAAACGACAGAGAGAGGAGAAAGAGAGACGAGAAGAGGAGCAAAGGAACCTGAAAAGGCTGGAAGAAGAGTTTGAGAGAGAAAGAGAAGAATATGAAAAGAAACTAAAAGAGGACGAGCAGGAAAGAAAAGAAAAGGAGAAGAAAGAACAGAAACTGAAAGCAGAACTTAAAGAAATGGAGGAACAGATCAATTTGGAGCGAGAAGAGAAAAGGAGAGAACATAATAGAAGAAAAGAAGAAGAGAAGAAAAGAAAAGAAGATGAACAACAACAACAACAAGAGTGGGAGGAAAAAAAGAAAGATTTGGAGGAAAAAATCAAATCAGAATCAGAGGATAAAGAGATCATTAGTATAACATTGGAGGAGAGCAGAAAAGAGATGGAGAAAGAGAAAGAAGAAAGAGAGAAGGAAAGAAGAGAGTGGTGGAAGAAAAGAAAACAACAGGATGAAGAAGAACAGAAGAAACGGAAAGAACTTGAAGATAAATTGGAGGAGGAGAGAAAAAAGTTAAAAACCCAAATACAATCTGATAAAATGAAACGGGAAAAGGAAGAGGAGGAGAGAAAAAATAGAGAAAAATTAATTGAGGAAATGAAAGAAAAGATCAAGTTTGAGAGTGAGTTAAGAAAGCAAGAAAAGGAAAAAAGAGAAAAAGAAGACAACGAAAGAAAGCAGGAGGAGAAAAGACAACAAAAGGAGTGGCTGCAAATACAAAAATATTTAGAGGAAAAAATTCAGAAGTCAGAAGAAAAGGAGAAAGTCAATAAACAACTAGAGCAGAGCAGAAAAGAGATGGAAGAAAAACGAGAAGAATGGGAGAAGTTAAAAAAAGAGTGGTGGGAAAAAAGAAACAAAGAGGATGAAGAGAAAAGAGAACAGGAGCAAAAACTAAGGAAGTTTCAAGAGGAATTTGAGAAAGAAAAGGAAAAATATGAAAATAAAATCAAAGAAGATAACAAAAAAAGAGAGGAACTAGAAGAGGATAAAAAACAACTGGAAGAGAAGTACAAAAAGGAAAAGGAAGACATGATAAAGAATAAGGAAGAGGAGGCGAGAAAACAGGCTAAGGAATTCAATGAATTCAAAGAGAAATATGAATCTTTTATAAAGCAACACAAAACAGAGATAGATAACCTAAAAAGAAAATATTGTTCTTGTCCTATCTGTAAACATTTAGCTTTCTTTAAATGAAGTAATAGGTAAATGCTTTAAAAATACTTGCACAATCATATGCTGGGTCCGATCATCAGAGGAGACTATATCGTGAACTTTATATTGAACTCAGTTAACTGACGTTCGGACAGATGGACAAATTACTTTTTAACTCCCCGTCGGCCACGTCACTGCACCTCCCCGCACAGTGTCTGCACCATATATCCTGCCCCCAAAGCAAATCCCATGATGCTTTATAATGAGAGCTATTCAAAAGCAATCTTGGATATATCAGCTTGTCTAGGGACCACAGTTACACATTACTTTTCACGGTGCATTGTGGGAATTTATGAATCTACTTGTTTTTCATCCACTAGACCAGTGATTTTCAACCTTTGTTGAGCAATAGCACATTTTTAACATTTACAAAATTCACGGGCACACCACCAACCAAAATGACGCTCTAACACGGTACATATTATATAGTTAATAATATAGTTTCTAAATGTATTTATAGTCAGTGTGAAACACACACAAAGCTCTTCCTCAACAGTTCTCAGTCTCTGTTTTAGTAAACCTGCAGATTGAGATCGAAGTGCTCTGTTAGGAACATAAGGAACAATCAGATCTCTGATATAAGATGGAGCTTGGCCATTTAAGGCTTTATATGTGAGAAGGAGGATGTTAAATTCTATCCAGGGCCCAGTTTGGCATTTGTCTTTTCCCTACTCAAAAACTTATCCATCACTGTCGTTTGCTCGTCTGGCTCGGA